TTATACGGCCGGTTTTCAACATCTACCACCTCAGACTCAAGTGACAGCAAAACTCCCAGGAGGAGATTCATACGTCAATCCCACACTTACACACACAAAATGCCCGTTGCCGAGAGAACACCACAAACTCTCTACGATAAGGTCTTCCAGGCCCATATCGTAGATGAGAAGCTCGACGGGACCATTCTTTTGTACATTGACCGTCACCTCGTACACGAGGTCACCTCACCTGTACGTTTCCCCTTTTCCCCTAGCTCCCGGGCCGCGCGGGTATTCTGGTGGGACAAAACACAGTTCTAACACACACCGTGCAGCAAGCTTTTGAGGGTCTCGAAAATGCTGGACGCAAAGTGCGGAGGCCAGACTGCACTCTGGCTACAACCGATCATGTAAGAACCATCTCCTAGCTTCTGCATGCGACTCTTACTAACAGTCCGGCCACATAGAATGTGCCCACATCATCAAGAAAATCCTTGAAGGATATTGCCAGTTTCATCCAGGAGGACGACTCCCGGACACAATGCGTAACCCTGGAGGAGAACGTCAAGAAGTTCGGCATCACATACTTTGGTCTCAGTGACAAGAGACAAGGTATCGTCCACGTTATCGGACCTGAGCAAGGATTCACGCTCCCTGGCACGACAGTAGTGTGCGGTGACAGTCACACGTCGACTCACGGTGCCTTTGGTGCCCTGGCTTTCGGTATCGGTACCAGCGAGGTCGAGCATGTCCTTGCTACACAGACTCTCATCACCAAGCGCAGCAAGAACATGAGGATACAAGTCGATGGCGAGCTCGCACCCGGTGTTAGTTCCAAGGATGTGGTTCTCCACGTCATCGGCAAGATCGGTACTGCTGGTGGTACCGGTGCGGTCATTGAGTTTGCTGGTAGGTTGGACCCCTTTGGATGTGTTCGGTTTTTTCCGTGTAACTGACCATCTTCAGGCTCCGTGATTCGCTCTCTGAGCATGGAAGCTCGCATGTCCATTTGCAACATGGCGATCGAGGGTGGTGCCAGAGCTGGCATGGTTGCCCCCGATGAGATCACTTTCGAGTACCTCAAGGGCAAGCCCCTGGCCCCCAAGTACGGCTCCGAGGAGTGGAACAAGGCGGTCGCCTACTGGAAGTCGCTCCAGTCTGACGCAGATGCCAAGTATGACATCGACGTTTTCATCGACGGCAAGGACATTATCCCCACCGTGACATGGGGCACCAGCCCTGAGGATGTCGTCCCTATTACCGGCACCGTACCGGACCCAGAGACTTTCCCCACCGAAGCCAAGAAGGCTGCCGGCCGCCGCATGCTGGAGTACATGGGCCTCACGGCAGGGACACCCATGGAGGACATCGTGGTCGACAAGGTTTTCATCGGCTCATGCACAAACTCGCGAATTGAGGATCTCCGGGCCGCTGCTTCCGTCGTCAAGGGCAAGAAAATTGCCGCCAACATCAAGCGGGCCCTCATCGTTCCCGGCTCCGGATTGGTCAAGGAGCAAGCCGAGGCTGAAGGTCTCCACAAGATCTTTACCGATGCCGGATTCGAGTGGCGCGAGGCCGGCTGCAGTATGTGCCTGGGAATGAATCCCGACATTCTGTCTCCACGGGAGAGATGCGCTAGCACCAGCAACCGCAACTTCGAGGGCCGTCAAGGTGCCCTCGGCCGGACCCACCTTATGTCCCCCGTGATGGCTGCCGCTGCCGCCATCGCTGGTAAGCTCGCTGATGTGAGAAAGCTGGCCGAGTACAAGGGCAGCCCCCATATCGAGGCCGCCATTGCCCCCGAGGCGACCACCGGCAAGGCGCATGCCGATGAGAGGATCGAGACTGATGACCACGAGAAGGAGGCTCTCACTGACCAGCCTGAGGACTCTTCTCCTCAGGTCAACACCTCAGTACCCAAGACCGGTACCAGCGCCGGTCTTCCCAAGTTCACCGTCCTGAAGGGTATTGCGGCACCGATGGAGAAGGCCAACATCGATACCGATGCTATCATCCCCAAGCAGTTCCTCAAGACCATCAAGCGCACCGGTCTCGGCAAGGCTCTGTTCTACGAGTGGCGTTACCAGGACCAGAACACCGAGAACCCCGACTTCGTCCTGAACAAGGAGCCCTACCGCCAGGCCAAGATCATCGTCTGTACCGGTGAGAACTTTGGCTGCGGCAGCTCCCGCGAGCACGCCCCCTGGGCTCTCAACGACTTTGGCGTCAAGAGCGTCATTGCCCCTTCGTTTGCCGATATCTTCTTCAACAACTCGTTCAAGAATGGCATGCTCCCCATCGCGATCAAGAACAAGGATGATCTCGAAAAGGTCCACGCCGAGGCCGTCGCCGGCCGCGAGGTCGAGATTGACCTGCCCAACCAGCTCATCAAGGATGCTGATGGCAACACCCTCTGCGCGTTTGAGGTTGAGGAGTTCAGGAAACACTGCCTGGTGAATGGCCTTGACGATATCGGTCTGACCATGCAGATGGAGGATAAGATCTCCGAGTACGAGAAGAAGATGTCGATCGAGACCCCCTGGCTGGACGGCCGGGCTTACCTCAAGAGAAAGGGCCAGGGCGGCAAGCTCGCTGCCAAGGCTGTGCCTGTGCCCAAGACCAACCGGGGAGAGACCAAGACGGAGCCCCTGGAGTGGTAATCGGTCTGTCTTGGGTGGCGTCGTCTTTTCTTTGCTCCTTTTTTCTGACGTTCAGTGTTCATGATACCTAGGATGAAGAAACACAAAGGTCTTCTCTCATCTCGAGTTTTCTATTTATTTATTTTTCTGTTTATTTTTTATATATATTTTTTTCAATTCAAGCATTTGTGGAAAATACGTTCTTGGAATGAATGTGCATACGGCGGAGAGGCGGGATAACAACAACTCCCAGTTGCATAATAAAAGTCATTGGGAGGTATCTTGCTATGTAACTTAGCTTTAGCTAGCTGGGCAGTGGTTGAACTGCGATCTCTTTTAAGCATAAGATGATTGATGAACCTATTTCACCGCCCTTCTCTTGCATGCTTCGACTTGTGATATGATACTGATGTTGTTATTAGCCCATGACTTCACTTTACAATCTTGTTCATCTCGACGTGATCTGATTTCCATAACCAAGATACGAACATGCTAACTAACTGGCTTTGTACGCTACCGTTCATCAAAAGAAGCCTCAAATCCAACCAAGATAAATCCTCCTTTACTTCCTAGCAGCAGCAGCAGCAGCAACCTCCTCCCCCAGCGGCAAAATATCCGGGCTAGGCCCCAACGGCGTGATGGACAGGGGGTTGATATTCGTATGCGACTTGGTATAATGGTTCTTGATATGCAAGAAATTCGTCGTCTCTTCAAACGCGGGGATATTCCAGTACAGATTCTGCATCCATTTGTGTAAAGCCGGGTACCCCGACCGGATATCCCTCAGGTTACACTTGAAGTGCTGGACGTACACCGGGTCGAACCGAATGATTGTGACGAACAACCGGATATCCACCTCTGTCAATCTCTCTCCAAACCAATAAGGTCCTTGGCCTTCCGCAAGATGCTTCTCAGCGCGATCAAGAGCTTTGAAAAGAGTCAAAACGTTGCGCTCGTACGCCTCCTGAGTAGTGGCGAAACCGGATTTGTAAACCCCGTTGTTGATCTGGTCGTACTGCCACTCGTTTGCTTCGTCTATTTCTTGTCGGAGGTCAGCAGGGTAGAGGTCGACGGAAGCAAACTGGGGGGGTAAGAGCGAGTTGAATTCCGTGTTGAGCATCCTCAAAATTTCGGAGGATTCGTTGTTGACGATTTTTTGGGATTTCTTGTCGAAGAGGACGGGGACGGTGAAGCGGCCGGAATAATTCGAGGAGACTTGGAAGTAGACCTGGGAGAGGTGGGAAAAGGAGGAGTGCTGAGGGATGGGGGAGGGGGTGACGTTTTCTCCTTCGGCGTCGGTGTCGGAGGGGGTTGGGAAGCGCCAGCCCTTGTCGCCCATGTGCCAGTGGACTGCAGAAAAGGAGATGATTTCTTCGAGACCTTTGAGTTTGCGGGCGATCAAGGTGCGGTTGGCCCAGGGGCAGGCGTAGGAGATGTAGAGGTGGTAACGACCGGCTTCGGGGGGGAATTCAGAGTTGGGGGAGGAGGAGATGGTGGAGCGGAAGGAGGATTGTTGGCGTTTGAACTCGCCGGAGGTGTCGCCTGGTTTTACCCAGTCTGTGATTTTGGAGATGAGGTTGGTGCCTGAGGAGCCGGAGGGGGTGTCTTGGGCGGCCTGGTAGTGGTTAGTATGTGGGAGATAGAAAGGGGGAAGGGGAGGGGGATGTACCATTTTTGTTGTGGTGGTGGTGGTGAGATACCTGGATGATGCTGAGGGGATGATTCTGAAATATGAAGTTGATGATGGTTTATGATGGACTTGAAGTGAAAACAGTGGGGATGATGATGGCCTCAAAACAGTTCGTAGAAGCGGGTGAGTACCATCTCTTATGCAGGTAACGTTCATGAGTTGAAGCTGAGTGAGTGAGGGGGAGAAGCTGGCATTGGTTGTGATCTATGTACTCCACAGCTAGGTAGTCTTTATATTCCAAATCCAACGGCTTAATCAAGCGAGTCTAGTTCTCACTGCCTTTGGTCCAGATTACTAAGGCCATTACATTGCTTCTACTATGACCCAGCTTCGAATAGGTTATTGGTTCTTTCTCATCAACAACCTCTTGAAAGGAGAAAATGGAGCTTGGGAAGCTCTTACAAATGGTGACGTAACATCTAGCGTCTCCACCATTCTTTTCCTACAGCCAACGTCTTCGCGCCGCGATTTCCAGCGCTGAGTAATGACCAGACCGGGAGCATCTATGACTTGGGCTGAGATCGTTTGAACACCCATCAAAGCACAGCTTTCAATATCAATTCCAACCAGTTCACCACACACACATTGGAGGCGATGATCCCTTGAATACTAGCAAGTTTGTGGCTCGAGTGATCACTACCAACGGGCTTGCTTCAGCGCTGTTGCGCAACTTGTACTTCAACAACAGCTAAGGCAAGATGGCCGAGCGGTCTAAGGCGCCACGTTAAGGAATATCCTTAATAACCATCCATCTGGATTCCGTGGTCCGAAAGGGCGTGGGTTCGAATCCCACTCTTGTCATACACTTTTGTTGCACCTTGTTCAGGTGCTAAGATGTTTCATTTTTAATCTTGTAACCTAGCACCCATGTGATTTTGGTGGGGCATCTCTTTGAACACAGCGCTCCAATCGCAACGGCCAAGATGAAGCGAGGTCTACTTCGTACAGGGGTCGCCCATCAGCCGTTGAAAGTGTGCCGTCATTCTGGAAATCTGGCTTCAAATCGATACGAGAGACGCGACAACCAGCTAATTTGCCTGTAACCTATTCTTCTTCTTTTGGTGATATTCTCTCCCCAAGAGAACAGTCGAAAGCCATGAGAGCGCCATCATGACCTCGTCTACCTCTACCTCACCGCATTCCCTTTCGCGTACCGAGATTCTGAGCCTCGCCTCGCTCTCCTTCGCGTGCTTTGCTGTACTTGCGAATACCTTCCAGGGCGATGGCGAACCACTCATTGCCTCGCTCGCCCTGAGCGGTATTGCCTTCTCTGCGACCTACTCCATGATACGATGGCTGGGACCAAACTTCATCAAGGCCGGGCTGAAAGGGGTTGATATGAGCAAGCACCACCGGAAAGAAATTCCCGAGTGCATGGGCGCAATATGCGCCATAGTGTACCTGCTCATAATCATGATCTTTATCCCCTTTCCGTTTTACAAGGACATTGTAGCAGCAACGAGCGGAGGCGGAAACAAGGATGTGGTTTTGCAGCCCGAGTACGTGCAACAAGGGCGGCTGCTACATCGTTTTCCCCATAACAAGGTGCGCGCTTCAGTGCTTGAGGTCATGTAAAAGCTGGAGCTGACTAGATTTCGGTAATGTAGCTCGCGTCGTACCTCTCGGCAGTCATCTCTCTGCAGTCGATCACCCTCCTCGGCATTGGTGACGACCTGTTTGATATCCGCTGGCGGCACAAGTTCTTCATCCCGGCGTTTGCCTCGATTCCGATCCTCGTCGTTTACTTTGTCGATTTCGGCGTAACCTCGATCGTCGTGCCGATCCCGTTACAACCGTACCTCGGCGAGCTCTTGAACGTTGGCGCGCTCTACTATGTCTACATGGCGAGCGTGGCCATCTTTAGCCCGAACAGCATCAACATCCTAGCGGGGATCAATGGCATTGAGGTATCGCAATCCATCGTGATTGCCCTGCTTCTTGCGATCAACGATTGTCTTTACCTGCTTACGCCGTACCCACACCCAGCGACCGACTCGCATTTGTTCTCGCTCTACTTTCTCCTCCCGTTCCTCGGCGTCTCGTTTGCTCTGCTCTACCACAATTGGTACCCGGCGCGCGTGTTTGTAGGAGATACGTACTGCTACTTTGCGGGCATGGTGTTTGTGGCGGTTAGCATTCTTGGGCATTTCAGTAAAACACTGATCTTGCTCTTGATCCCGCAGATCATCAACTTTGTCTACTCAGTACCGCAGCTTTTTCACTTGGTTCCCTGCCCACGACATCGTTTGCCTCGGTTCAATGCGCGCACTGGGTTACTTGAGCCCAGTGTTACCCCCTGGACCCCAGAAAGACAGCCCAAGCCACCAATCGCTTGGGCCTTGAAGCTCCTGGGGAGCTTGAGGATGCTACGAGTAACATTGGACGAGGAAGGAAAGTTTGTGGAAACAACCAACTTTACAATTCTCAACCTCTGGCTGGTCTGGAGGGGTCCTTTGCGCGAAGACCGTTTGGGGCTAGAAATCACCACCATGCAAGTAGTTATGGGGCTGTTTGGGCTGTTCGTCCGACATGGGTTGGCGCTATTGATATTTAAGGAAGATAATTGGAGCATCACTAGACGGTGATGCGTAATATTCGATGTAATATGTTTTTTAGACTTGGAAATACCAAGCGCAGAAAATGCGCAAGGAAATATGCGATTAATATGTCCATTGTTGTTCTGCCCCTCAATCTTCAAGTTCAGTGACTGCAAGGAGCTTGGGCCCAAGGGTCTTTTTAAGGGCCGCTCAAGTGCCAAGCGGGTTCAACTCCCAGCCGACGTCAGAAACACCACAAGCGACCAAGCGACCAAGCGACCCCTCGGTGCTCCATTGCACATGTTAAACCTAGGTGTAGGAATATATATGTTTGTACGTAAAGAAAACAACAGATCGCAATAGTCCGCAACAAAATGTCAAGATATGCGCAGTTTCTAGACGAGCCGCCAGTACCCGAAGATCGATTGGGCTTCGAACCCATCCTCAAGCACGGCCACCAAGATCTCGTTCAGTCTATCGCTTTCAACACCTACGGCGACCGATGCGCGACCGGCTCCGTCGACGGCAAGATTCGCGTTTTCAACAGACACAAGGACGGGATATGGAGGCACTGCGATAACTGGACTGCGCACGGCGGAGAGATCATGAAGCTCCAATGGCTCCCACCATCAATCTACCCAAACCTCCTCGCCTCATTAGGCGCAGAGGGCCGCTTCAAGATATGGGCTGAAGATCCCTCCGCTGCCCCGGGGAGACGCTTCTCCAACGCGAAGCACAATATCGGGCTGGTCGCTGCCCTCACCAGCCAGCCTTCCCACCCTCACGCGCAACCAACACCAAGCGCCTCTCATCATGACTCCCGTCCAGGCAGCGGTACCGCAACCAATGCCTCCAGCACAACGACCACCACCCCCGCCGCGACCACAACCCAAGGGGCAATACTCGCATCTTCCGGCGAGAAAGCTGGCATTCTCGCCCCAACCTCCAACCCCCCAACCCCCGGCTCTACCACAGGATCCATAGCGATATCAACCTCCGCCAGTGAGAAAGCAGCAGCGGCGGCAGCAGCAGCCGCAGCCGCCGCCGCCGCCCTGGAGACGGCAAGCTCAACAACCAGCACCTCTTCTGTCGCGCCCAAAGCCGCCTTCGAAACCCGCAACTCCAAAGCCGCCTACCGCGCTTTTAGTATGAAGTACATCGACGACACGCGGCACACCTACCTCGCCCTCCTCTCCGCCGACGGCAAGCTTTCTGTGTATGAAAACGAGACCCCCGAGAACATGGCCGATTACATGATGATCGACGAGATCCTCGTCTCCCGTGCCTCCCATCCTGCCGCGCGGGGTGAAGAAGCTACCTACTGCGTAGAATGGGACCCCAACCCCGAAGCCTGCTACAGCGCCCAGCGCGCCGGCGTTCCCCACGACTCGTTAGCATTCATCACCGCCTGCATGGACTGCGTCCGCATCTACCGCAGCCGGGAAGTCATAACCCAGTCCATGGGCGTGGCCGTTGCCGGCAAGGGGTTCTACCTCGCCGTAGAAATCCCGCAAGAAATCCACCGCGGTCTAGTCCGGGACGTAGCCTGGGCCCCTGGCAATGTTCGGGGGTACGATGTTGTGGCCACGGCATGCACAGACAGCTACGTCCGCGTTTTCCGCCTTGAAGCCACCACCTCTTCTTCCGCAGAATCCGATGACTCCGACAGTGACCACGACGAGAAGAGATCCTCCTCCTCCCACTACCCCTACGGCGGCGTCACTCGCGCAGGAAAATGGTCCGCCGCCCGCCTAACCCAGAAATCCACCGTAAAACCCAACGATCCCGACAATGAAGGGCGGTTACACATCGTCCCTCCCAACCCGAACCATATCATGCGGTTCCCTTCTAAACGCCTCCAGCAGAAATATGACCAAACGATGCGAACACACGAACATTTTCTTCAGCTTCACTTGCAGGATCTATCCTCGCAGAAACTACACCCGAATCCGCAGCAACAACCGCACCACTCCCAATCCAGTTCCGCCCAACAGCAACAGTCTGGACCAGAAAGCCAGTCATTATTATCCTCGCAGAGCGCAACAGCACAACATAACTCCCCAGCAATAATACCAGGCATCTCCTCCCTCCGCGGAACCACCTCAGCCAGTTCCACATTGAGTAATATAACCAATACCAACTCCCCTGCAACCAACACTTCCTCACAACCCGCCAGCTTGCTCGATTTACACCGAGATCTGGCAAAAAATAACCCAGAGAAAAGAATCACGGGCCTACCGGGACAGGTAAGGCACAAAATCAAACAAGTCTCAAAACTAGATTCCCACGGCGCCCCCGTGTGGCGGGTAGATTTCGACGACAACGGGCAGATTCTGGGGAGTGTAGGCGATGAAGGGAAATTAATGCACCACCGCATGACGCCCGACGGACGCTGGGCCAAGAGCGCGGAGCTGGCCATGGTGAAGATGAAGATGGCTGCTTTGTAAGAAAGACTACGAATACGGAAAACTAAGAGGGGATGCTCACGATCTGGGGGATGTAATCATGGCAAGATGTCTGAATGAGGAAAGCAAGCAAACAGACCTATTTTGTTTGGGAAATATTAATGGAAGGGGTGGGTGGACATGTACATCTATATGCACAGCAGTCGGGATGACTAGGTAGGCTGTGGTAATGTGTAGATGATACCTTTTGGGCTGTAAAATACAATATATACACACAACATGCACGGACGAAACCCTTTGTTTGGTCCGAGGAGTGCCCAGAGAGATGGATGCCAAATAGTCTCAATGGTCGTCTTAGTCTGGTATATGAAGCGTCACTGCAAAAGACCTTAAAGTTCGCTGTAAAAGACTGAAATATTCTATTTCATCACGAATATCTTTCTCTCTACGCCGACATTGATTCGTCAGCTTATCTCCCGCCGCGGAAAACCACAGAGAACAGACTTCGGCTTTCTCATAATTTCTAGACAAAATCCACGATCCCACCCCTCCTCCTTCATAGCGTTTCATTTACCGAATCTTCACCTTAACATAAGGAACCTCTACATCCTCGCCCGTCTGATCCTCCACCACCACCTCAAAGATCAACTCCGTCAGATGCGACGGAATCTCCTTCTTAGTCACCGTCTCCACCAACTTGCTCAGCTTCATGGGCAGCTTATCCTTCGTCTTGGCCGGCGGGAAGAAAGCCGCATACAGCAAGCTCACACCCGAGCTCACCATGGAGACATCCAGACCCTTCGCCTGGAAGAAGTCGAGGAACTCCTGCAGCGTGACATCCCCAATCTCGAAGCGATCC